TTTTGAGACGGAGTTTTGTTCTCGTTGCCCAGGCTGGAGTGGTGCAGTGGCGCAATCTTGGCTCACTGCAACCTCCGCCTCCCGGATTCAAGCGATTCTCCTGCCTCAGCTTCGCAGGTAGCTGAGATTACAGGCATGTGCCACCACGCCCAGCTAATTTTTGTATTTTTAGCAGAGACGAGGTTTCTCCATGTTGGTCACGCTGGTCTCAAACTCCTGACCTCAGGTAATCTGCCGGCCTCCATCTCCCAAAGTGCTGGGATTACAGGTGTGAGCCACCATGCCTGGCCCCTAAGCCGAAACTTAATGGGCAAGTGGGCAGTCAGGTGAGCTCCAGGGTGGAGGCAGAGCAGTGAGGTGCATTTGAAGAGTATTTCAGGCAGAAACAATAGCAGAAACCAGTCAGGGAGGCTGTGAGTGTCATGGTAACGGTAAGGTCTTGCCTTGTTCCCATGAGAGCTTCTGTAAGTCACATGCTAGCGACTGATACTTTGATGCTTGTTAGAAGGAAATGAATAAAACAGAAAGGACATTTCTTTTGTGACATATCCCCCAGCACTGCAGTACATAATAAAGAGCACTATGAGAAAGTTTCCTGTGGCACATGTCGGGGATGGAATTGGGGCTGGCGTCTGCGGCCTTGGGCTGGTTGGGAATCTGGGCCTAGAAGAACCTGTAGCATAGGAGGTGCTCGGACGTGAGCTCTGAAGAGCCACTTCAGAGTGGCTGGAGGGTGTGGTCCGTTAGGACGGGGTGCCACCAGGCAGGTGCTTTCGGAAATGCCCAGATGTTTAGTGTTTGACGGTGTTTCATTTGTAATTGTTCTTCCAGTGACTGTCCAGCTTTTCTGAATCTTCCTGGGGCAGGGACCTTCCCTCACAAGTATGGTCTATTCCAGTAATGCTTTCTGATCCTGAATGGAAACGGCCTCCCGTGGCCCATGCCCATTGTCTTGAGCAAAACTGTGGGAGCGGTGTAGAAGGGGTTAAGTGAGATGTTCACGGAGGCATTTTGTAGGTGTGCTGTGCTGTGCTAGTACACCTACAAAATGCCTCTGTGAACATCTCACTTAACTCCTTCATCCCCCTGGGGTGGGTAGTCCTGCCTCAGATTTTACACACGAGAGTCAGAGCTCATAAGGCTGCAGTGATTACCCCAGGGTCATCCCAGTAAGTGACCGGGCTGGGACTCAGAGGCAGGGCTTTTCCTGTGACCTGTTAAATGAGCAGATGCCACTCATTCTTTCCCAGTGGGCTGCAGCTCTCTCCTCTACACTGCATTGCTCATTCATCCACTCCTAGGTGTATCATGCATGGACTTGTTAGCTCTTTCCCTGTGCCAGGTGCCCCGCCAGTTGCTGGGGCCACATCAGGGAGCATGGCAGACACACCTGCACTCTCGCAGAGCTCATAGGCCAGCAGTCATGGGTGTACCTTAGATGCACACACGTGTACTCCCTTTCTGCTGTTGCCAGCTGGAAGAGACGGGCCTGTGCACTCCAAGGTGCCCTTTCCCCTGCCCTCTCCTCCCTTTACCGCCCCCCCTCGGCACCGTGACTTGGGTTCTTGTAGGCCCCTCTCCATGTGGTTCCCTTGCCTCTGCTTCACACTCTTCCCTCAGGTTCGAATCCCTGCACCCTCTGAGCAGGAGCCACGGCCCACATGTGGGCACCGAACCCAAGGCTAGAGCAAGTCTCTGAGGTTGGAGAGGGTGGTCGAGAGGCCATCCATGGTGAGCAGGGGCCTGATGGGAACCAGAGCTAAGCTGTCCTTTCTGTCGCTGGGTCTGATGCGGCTGCCCTCTGCCTTCTCCTGTAGCTCCCACACTGCCCGGGTACCAGGCTGTTATCTTCTTCCCTGGCTTGGAAACAAAGTCCAGGTCCTCACCAGACACCTTTGGCCTGCTGTGGGTGCAGTATACTTGTTTTTTCTAAACTCCTTCCGTGGGATTTTGTTTTTTATTCCCCCTGCCAAAGGGAAAAAAAAAGATGGGCATTGCCCCCAAAGGGCATCTTCATAGAGAGTCCAAGTGCTGTCCAAAAGGCAGCATTGGAATGACGGCTGCGCAGTGGGCTCACGCACTCTCAGAGTTTTTTTGTTTTTGTTTTTAAGACAGGATCTCACTCTATCACCCAGGCTGGAGTGTAGTGGCTTGATCTCACCTCACCACAACCTCTGCCTCCTAGGATCAAGCGATTTTCCTGCCTTAGCCTCCTAAGTAGCTGGGATTGTAGGTGCTCACCACCACACCCGATTAATTTTTGTATTTTTAGTAGAGACAGGGTTTCACCATATTGGCCAGGGTGGTTTCAAACTCCCCACCTCAAGTGATCTACCCTCCTCGGCCTCCCAAAGTGCTGGAGTTACAGGCATGAGCCAACACGCCTGGCCTTGCTCAGAGTTTCATGTCTGCATATGCATCCTGGGGAGACCAGAACAGCCACGCCACCCTTGGGCTCAATCTTGGATTTTTTTCTTGTTTGCTTGCTTGTTTTTTGTTTTGTTTTGTTTTTGTGGAGACAGGATCTTGCTCTGTCACCCAGGCTGGAATGGTGAAATTATGGCTCATTGCAGCCTCAACCTCCTGGGCTCAATCGATTCTCCCACCTCAGCCTCCTGAGTAGCTGGGACCACAGGCACACGCCACCATTCCCAGCTAATGTTTTTAAAACAAGTTTTATAGAGATGGGGCCTCACTGTATTGCCTGGATTGGCCTCAAACTCCTGGGCTCAAGCAGTCCTCTTGCCTCCACTTCCCAAAGTGCTGGGATTACAGACGTGAGCCACCGCACCCAAGCAGGATTATTTTTTCGATTCAGGTTGGGAACATTTTGAGTGCCATGAGCGTATGCCACCATCCATGCTTCAGCGTTTTGCCGTCAGTGAAGGACTCCACGATGGGGTCTTGGAACAGGTCTGTCTCCTGCCTGGCCCTCCAGATCCATCTGGCTTCTCCGCTCCTGCTGCACAGGCCCTAGGAATTTGGAGCCTGCTTTCTTCTTCTGCAGTTACCCCCACCCACTATCCTTTGGGGTCACTTTTCCTCTAAATAGACCCAGTTTAGATATATATCCCTTTCCTGCTTCCCATTTATGCCTCCAGATGGAGACAAGAGGACTGCTTGAGTCCAGGAGTTTGAGACCAGCCTGGTCAGTATGATGGGGCCTTATCTCTACAAAAAAGTTTTTTTTTTTTCCCTAAAGCTGGGCATGGTGGCAATGTGTCTGTGGTCCTAGCTAGGTAGGAGGCTGAGGCAGGAGGATTGATTTGGCCCAGGAGATCGAGGCTGCCATGAACCATGATTGTACCACTCCAGCCTGGGTGACACAGCAAGACCCTGTCTCAGAGAAAAATATGCTTCCCATGGGCCCTCCTTCCTTGTAGAAATCTTACTGTTAATCATCATAGGACTGCTGGAAACTCACAAAAGTAACAGCTAGGGGACGATAGGAGATTTGTGAGTGTTGCCATCATGCAAGGTCTTGGTTTGTGCTCATGGCTCTAGTTGAAGGCCGTGAGCAGAAGTCACCTGTGGGCTGAGCCTCTCACCCATCTTTGTCCAAGGGAGGCCGGTCTATGGGTTAGGGTTCCACATGGTTTCCTGTGCCCCTGATTTCCTATGGGCAGTCTCATCCCTGCTCTCCTGGGCTCTCCTGCCCTGGAAGGCTCTGCTCCTGGCCTGGGCCTGGCCTTGGCACCCCCTGTCCTGTGCTCTTTGCTGCTCTCTTTGCTGTGCCCACCTCCTTATCAATTCCTGGTGACGGTTGTCATTGCTCAGGTCAGGTGTTCTAGGCCTGCTCTCATGTTCCCAGGACACTGTCTGACCTGGCTTCTGCCTATGGGATTTGGGCTCCACAGGGACCCCTTCCTCGCCTGTTACTGGCGTTGATGCAGCCATGTGGTCCCTAGAGCTCTGTGAGGCCCAACATAAATTTTACTTTTCAATGCTGTAAGGGAAATACAGTTAGTCCCTCCGGAGTGGGTAGGATAGCAGGGAGGGACCTGAGAATTTGTCCAACCCAAAATCCTGAGAATCATTGGCCAGAAGGACTTGGAACAACCTTCCCCATAGATATAGAAGCATGGGGTTGAGAAGAGTCCTGCATGGTGGTGGAGTGGGGGGGGGTTGCTGTTCAGGAGGGGAGCTGGGTCTGTGAGTCCCAGAGGCCCCATCCACACAAGCACACAAAAATGTGACCGTGGTGTTGGCAGCAGTAGAGATGGAAGCGTGAGATTCCTAAGGTCCTCGGAGCTGGCCCTTGGCATGGTTACAGCGGCTTCTCACAAGCCGACTTTTAAACACCTGCAGAATTGTCATTATCATCTGAGCAGACCCTCTGATAAGCCCTTTCTTTCCCCCTGTTTTTAGTGGCGCCAGTCTCTGCAGTCATTCAGTATCATTTCACTGGTAGGATGGGCAAAACAAAACCAGATTAAGCGAGGCTATAAAACTGCAGCCACACTAAAGGTGCAGGCACACAGGTCTGATGGTGAGCTCCGGGAACAGTGTGAGCACGCTCCCCTCCCCGCCACCTAGGACAGGCCAGGCCAGGCTTAGCCGCTAGTACTTGCCTGTGTACCCCCGAGTACACGTGTGGTCCCTGCCAGCAGAGCACCAGCCCTTGGCAGCTGCCTCCCTACTGTAGAGTGGGCATGCAGTCAGCCCACACTGTACCCCAAGAGTGTTGGCTGAGCACGTACAGAGTCGTGTCCACAAAGCCATCCCTGACCTGTGTCTTCTAGAATTCATCAGTGAACACTTCCTATGCAGACACCACTCCCACATGTATATCCAACAGCTGGTCCTGGGCCAGGCGGTGAGCTGGAAACGCTGTGTGGGTGAACCTTCATGTGGGTGAATGCTAACTCCACGTCTTCTCTCCCCCCTTGCAGTAAAAGCTGCACCATTGGGATGGTTCTCCGGCTGTGGAGCGACACAAAAATCCACCTTGATGGAGACGGGTAAGGAAATCTCTTTAAAACCTTCTCTCACTGAATGTAGGCTTTGAACACGAGCTAGTTGGGGCATCCTTGGCTGATCATTAACACAGACTCATGTGTGGCGGGAGTGTCACTTCGGGAGAAGTCATATCACCCTCGAGTGAGCTGCACAAGGGAGGGTGTGTTTTGGCCATCCCGTTAAGGAGTTTAGTTCATGAAGTATCAGTGGGAGCGATTGCAGGGGATCTGCTGCTGTGTGAAGTCCAAGACAGCAGTAAACTGACACCATCCACCACCTCAATGGGTTAAGAACTCTTACCACACGCCCTCCACGGGGCTTGTCCTGAAAGTTCACGGATGAATGTGGTGCAGCAGGAACTCACCAGCTTTGGGGGTGCAGGGAGAGATATACAACGGATGGGCACAACAAGGTTTCAGGTGCCACCCTGGGGGCCACAGAGGAAGAATGAAGCAGTTCTGCCTGGGCAGGCAGTAGGGATGAGGGGACATCCAGCTTCTATACACGTTCACTCCCAGGGAGGTGCGTGGACACCATGAGGAATGGGAAGAAACGGAACAAGAAAGTGGCCCTACATGGGGATTCTAAGCAGGTCAGGGTTATGTTGCCTTATAGGATGGGAAGAGAAAATAAAATTTGGATTTGTTGTTTAAGTTGATTTGTTGTTTAAGTCAATCATCTTAATTAACTTAATTAAATTAGAATTAATATTAAAATATATTTTAATATCTTTGTATTAATTTTTTTTTCAACGGAGTCTCACTCTGTCATCCTGGCTGGAGTGCAGTTGTGTGATCTTGGCTTACTGCAACCTCTGCCTCCTGGGTTCAAGTGATTCTCCTGCCTCAGCCTCCCGAGTATCTGGGACTACAAGCTTGTGCCACCATGCCTAGCTAATTTTTGTATTTTTAGTAAAGACAGGGTTTCACCATGTTGGCCAGGATGGCCTCAAACTCCTAACCTCAGGTGATCTACCCACCTCAGCCTCCCAAAATGCTGGGATTACAGGTGTGATCTTGTCATCCTCGGATTACCATGCCCAGCCTGTATTAATTTTTAATATTTTACATTAGTATTTATATTTTTATATTAACACTTTTCTATTAATATATTAATAGGTATTTTTATATATTGATTATTTTCCATGCAATCCTATGAATATAGTTTCCATGCAATTACAAAAAGGAACAGCCAGGCATGTGGGGCAGGAGGTGGCAGGTAGGCAGGAACCATGTGGGAACATAGAAGAGACACTCTTGGAGGTCCTTGTCTGGCACCCTTTGCCAGGCTTTCAGCTTTTGGTGGAACTCCAATTGCTGGGTTAAAAACAAGCCCTCCTCACCGGAGAATGTGTCTTTTTCTGCCCTTGCCCATGTCTCTGCTGCAGCGGGTTCCGTAATCCCCCATCAGGCGGCGTGAGATGTGCTTGTTTCAGCGTGCAGGTGGGCCGGCTCCCTTCTCCCAGAGTGATTTCACTAAAGGGGCTGATTTCTCACCACGGATACCTTTCTCTCTGTTTTTCTTTCTCAGTGGTTTCAGCGTGAGCACAGCAGGAAGGATGCACATATTTAAGCCTGTGTCTGTCCAGGCCATGTGGTAAGTGTGGTTTTAGGACTTTTAACTCCCTAGAAATACTTTCTTAGCTAATAGCATGAATAGAAAAACCCCTTTTACTGAGAAGCTCGTTATGTATGCACATATTTCAGAGGGGCACAAAATGTACGTAACATAAAATTTACCATTTTTACCATATTTATGGACACAGTTTTCAGTGGCATTAGTATATTCACAATGCTTGGACAGTTTGGGGTTTCTTGTATTTTTGAGACAGGGTCTTGCTGTGTCTCCCAGGCTGAGGTGCAGTGGTGCGATCATGGCTCACTGCAGCCTTGACCTCCCAGACTCAGGTGATCCTCCCACTGCAGCCTCCCAAGTAGCTGGGACTACAGGCACGTGACATCACAACCAGCTAACTTTTGTATTTTTTTGTAGAGATAGGGTCTCACTATGTTGCCCAGGATGGTCTCAAACTTCTGGCCACAAGCAGTCCTCACACCTCAGCCTCCCAAAGTGCTGGGATTACAGGCATGAGCCACTGTACCTGGCTTCAGCCTATATATATATATATATATATATATATATATATATATATATATATATATTTTTTTTTTTTTTTTTTTTTTTTGTAAAAAGAAGTAAAATGGGCTGAGTGCAATGGCTTATGCCTGTAATCTCAGCACTTTGGGAGGCTGAGATGGGTGGATCACCTGAGGTCAGGAGTTTGGCCAACATGGCAAAACTGTCTCTGCTAAAAATACAAAAAATAGCCAGGTGTGATGGTGCGCACCTGTAATCCCAGCTACTCAGAAGGCTGAGGCAGGAGAATCGCTCGAACCTGGGAGGCGGAGGTTGCAGTGAGCCAGATCACACCACTGCACTCCAGCCTGGGCCACAGAACAAGACTCTATCTCAAAACAAAAAAAAAAACAAAAGACGACGTAAAAGAGGGTGACTAAATAAAACAGATTCTTAATATTGTTTCCCAGCCTGCCTCCCCAAACCTCTTCCGTTAGTTTCTGTATTAAAATAACTTTCTAGAACTTATTTCCTTAAGAAATCTAAGCATCTAAGCCATTAGAACGTTGATGGGGGGGATGGATGGAAATGTAATTATTTAGAATGCAGGCAGATGTGTCTGTTGCATATTAAAGACTTCTTCCAGCTGCTAGGCTTAATTGTGGGTCTTATGTTCAGGGTTACCACAGCTTCAAGAGCAGATCTTAATTCTTTGGAGTTAATTGATGGGTTGTAAAATAACCCATCAACCACCTGATTGGAAGCGTTATGAAGTAGTTTATTGTTGTTTTTTTTCTGCCCCTCTTTGGAAATGGTGTGGGGTGTTCTGTCCACTCTTAGATTCAGTCAGTGAATGTGTCCCGGGGATGGGCTCTGTGCATGGCTGGCTGGACGCTTCAGGGCTGTGTGTATTCCCCAGCACCCTGACGTGTGAGTGTGGCTGTAAGAATGAGCCCTTGGCCAGGCACGGTGGCTCATGCTTGTAATCCCCAGCACTTTGGGAGGCTGAGGCGGGTGGATCACGAGGTCAGGAGATGGAGAACATGCTGACCAACAAGGTGAAACCCTGTCTCTACTAAAAATACAAAAATTAGCCTGGTGTGGTGGCATGTACCTGTAGTCCCAGCTACTTGAGAGGCTGAGGCAGGAGAATCGCTTGAACCAGGGAGTTGGAGGTTGCAGTGAGCTCAGATTGCACCACTTGCACTCTAGCCTAGCAACGGAGCAAGACTCCGTCTCAAAAAAAAAAAAATTAAAAAAGAATAAGCCCTTTACAAACTGCCATTCTTGGCCAAGCACAGTGGCTCACGCCTGTAATCCCAGTGCTTTGGGAGGCCAAGGTGTGCGGATCACTTGAGGCTAGGCGTTCAAGACCAGCCTGGCCAACATTGCGAAACCCCATGTCTCCTAAAAATAAAATTAGCTGGGCGTGATGGTGGGTGCCTGTGGTCTCAGCTACTCAGGAGGCTGAGGCAGGAGAATTGCTTGAACTCAGGAGGCATAGAATGCAGTGAACTGAGGTCATGCCACCGCACTCTAGCCTGGGCAACAGAGTAAGACTCTGTCTCAAAAAGAAATTAAAAAATAAATAAATAATTAAAAAGTTGCCCTTCCTTCCCGTATTTGAACCCCTTTGTCAGAGGAGGAAACCCTGCATCTCTCTCGCCTTCCTGACCTGACCCTCTCTTCTCCTCACCCCAGGTCTGCCCTGCAGGTGCTTCACAAGGCCTGTGAAGTGGCCCGGAGGCACAACTACTTCCCCGGAGGCGTAGCTCTCATCTGGGCCACCTACTATGAGAGCTGCATCAGCTCCGAGCAGAGCTGCATCAACGAGTGGAATGCCATGCAGGACCTGGAGTCCACGAGGCCCGACTCCCCCGCACTCTTTGTGGACAAGTAAGGGTGGCACCTCCTGTGGGAGCCCACCCAAGCCCACAGGCACCTGCCTTTCCCCCACCTGCCCTGTGCCCGACCCGGAACCTGCGCTGGGCCACACCTCCCATGGAGTCCCTTGAGTGACAGCCCAGCTTTCCCAGAACCAGCGTTTAATGCAGGGGCCTGTGACACAGGCCCCTGTCCCATGCAAAAAAAAAAAAAAAATTACTGATGAATCTGGTAAATCCATTTCTGGGGACAGGGTCCATAACTTCCATCAGACTCTCAAAGGAATGTGTGGCCCTCTGTGTCCCCAGCTCCTTGCAGAGCTCTGTGGTCTGGCCTTTTCAGATTATCAGAGACTTAATTCCCAGAGCCTCCCGCTCTGCTCTGAGGAGAGTTAGGAATGTGTCCTCTGCTTCCTTGGATCCAAAAACACAACTGCTGAGGGCAGCCTGCCTTAGCAGCAGCCATGGGGAACCACAGGACCTGTGTCCTGTGATCTACGACAGCACTGATGTGGAGAGGCCACGCTCGCTGAGATCTAGTTAGAGAGGCGGAACCCTGGTCGCCCCTCCTGTCGGGCTCCGGACCCTGCTCCCACAGTGTGGCATTCCTCCAGGACACTGTATTTTAGGAGGACTGTGGATAAACCACAGCGTGTTCAGAGGGCAGAGACCTGAAGGATGGAAGCCGCATTAGGAGAGGCCTTGACATCACAAGCTGGGCTGGGGAGGAAGGATAGTTGCCTTTGAATATTTGGAGATTGCTCATGGGGAAGAAGGATTAGCCTGGTCTGTGTGTCCCCTAGAGTTAAAACCACAGCAAGGAAATACCCAGAGTTTGATTCCGAGGAAGAAGGGGATAGCGGGAGCTGCTGCAACTGGGCCAGGCTGCCTCAAGACAGTGAGGGCCTCATGCCCAGACGTGTTTGGGCAGAGACTCAAGGGCCTGGGGGCCTGGGGACATTGCATTGGCCATTCCGGAGTCCTGCCCTGAGACCATCTGAGCAAGGCATGAGTTTCCACACTGCCCTCTGCCCCCTTGACCTGCTCTTCACTCTGTTCACTCCCTTGGGGATCCTAGAGCCACAGCGGGTTTCCTGTGCGCCTCTCCCTACTGCCCGAGAATGTGCGCACCAGGAAGTGTGCTCTCCTTGCCAAGCAGAGTTCTGTTTAGACCCAGGAGCGTCTGGCCTTCCTGACACCTCCGACCTCAAGCTTTCTACAGCTTCTTGCTCTCCTCAACATCGTTTCTTTCCAGGCCCACCGAAGGGGAAAGGACCGAGCGCCTCATCAAAGCCAAGCTCCGAAGCATCATGATGAGCCAGGATCTAGAAAACGTGACCTCCAAAGAGGTAAGACAACTCCTCCCTTCACTGCAGTTCAGAGGTCGCGAGGCCTTCCTGTGTCCTGCTGCCAAAAGTGCAGCAGAAACAGACCAGACACCTGGCTACCTTTACCTGTCCCCTTAACAGCCACCGGGGGTTTTTTCTGCCTCATTCTATCATCGCAGCTGGCCTTGGAGTCAGACTCCAGTGTGATTCCAGATCTGCCGCTTATCAGCTATGAGACATTGGGCAAATTTCTTGACCTTTCTGAGCCTCACCTATATGGGCTTTGGGGAGATCTCATTCTATGAGATCCGTAGACTGCACCGAGAAACACTGACATGTGTTAGTAACACCCCCTTGTTCTCTCTTCTGCTCCGTATTACCTTGGGTTTTATGGAAGAGAGAGCAGACTTATTTCTCCACAGGATGACAGCTGACCTGCAAGTACCAAATTCTAGAATAATTTCTCTCTATCTTTTCATGTTTTTTCCTGGATCATTTTTTTTTTTCCATCGCTTTTTGTTCAAGGTATGCAATGAATTATAAAAGATTAAACTGGGTGGATCTAAGAGATTGAGATTGACTTTTTAAAAGTTTATATAGAATTTTTTTTTTTGAGATGGAGTCTCTCACTGTCCCGCAGGCCGGAGTGCAGTGGCACGGTCTTGGCTCGCTGCAACCTCCACCTCTGGGTTCAAGCAATTCTCCTACCTCAGCCTTCCAAGTAGCTGGGATTACAGGCACTCGCCACCACACCCAGCTAATATTTTGTATTTTTTTAGTAGGGATGGATGGTCTCAAACTCCTGACCTCATGATCCGCCTGCCTTGGCCTTCCGAAGTGCTGGGATTACAGGCATGAGCCACCATGCCCGGCCTGTTTTTTTAAAGAGACTTGGTCTTCCTATGTTGACCAGGCTGGCCTTGAACTCCTGGCCTCAAGCAATCCTCCCACTAAGGCTTCCCAAAGTGCTAGGATTACAGGTGTGAGCTACTACATCCAACTCTGTCTTTTAATTAATGAATACATTTTTTTTTTAGAAATCATATTGTGTTACCTTTCCAAGAAAAATGGAACTGATTTTAGATTCTTTGTATTTGACATTTAATTACAAAAGTTAAAGTGTTTAAACTCGGTAGAAGAGATCTCATGGAAATCAAATTCCTCATTTGAAATAATAAACTTTCCTCAGTTGGGTTTACTTCTAAGCTGAGCAACCTGCATTCCTGCCACCCACATGTGTATGCTGCGTGTGTCTAAATGTATTACTCTGAAAAAAAGAGAAAAACCACCTTTTTTGTAAATAGCCACAGTTTGCATTGTAACTTTAATTCTTTTGAGGCAGACAATTGTTTTCTTTAACAAATCACTTTTCCTAATATTTTCTACTCCGCAGATCCGTAATGAATTAGAGAAACAGATGAATTGTAACTTGAAGGAATTCAAGGAATTCATAGACAATGAGATGCTACTTATCTTGGGACAAATGGACAAGCCCTCCCTTATCTTCGATCATCTTTATCTCGTAAGAGGCATGGCCCTGGCAGTATCTGGTTTGGGGGACATAAATTGGACCTTCTTTGTTTGGAGTTTGCAGCAAGTCCGGGAGAAAAAGCAGGCAAAAAGTTTGAGTTGCGGGAGCCTCCATTCTGGCTGGTGGGAACTCCCCTCTTTTGCCCCTTTTCTGGCCTGCAGGCTGCTGATCTGCTCTCGAGCCAGCTGTTTGAGAAGTGGCTCCCAGCTGAGCTGCGGGGAGTTGTTTGGGAGCTATTTGGCATAGTCAACTGGCATGTGTTTCAGACTCTCAAACCCTTTGTCTTCTTCAGCCATGAACACATAGGCCCCATCAGCCCCATCCAGCTACTTCCAAGTGGTTTGTGGGCTAAAAAGCCCCAGTTGCTAAAGGGAGCATTGCCTCCAAACCCCAGAATTACACCTAGCCATCCCGAGACACAAGAAACAACAGGGAGGACAGGTCACACAGCTGACATGCAGCTCCCACCGAGCTTGTCCAGACAGCTCTTCCATGCACGGCTCCAGTGCCGCTAGAAGCCTTCCCCCGGTCCTGTAGTTCTGGGTGGGTTCTGCTGATCGCTGTGCACCTCCACAGCTTCCTCAGACTGTCTGAATGCTGTAAATCTCCATAGAAGGCAACTGGCAAGTTTTCAAAGTCAGAGAGGCTATAGAGGAAGGCATGTTACTAAAATTAGAGAGGCCGAGCAGTGTCATGAAAATCAGTACCCACCAGAGCCCAGGTTCCCACTTCTTAGCCTCAGCAGCTGTGTGACTTAGAACAAGTCCCTTTCCCTCTGTTTTTCTTCATCCTACACCCCAAGGGATGACTATGAGGATTAAATAAAATACAAACTGGGCACAGTGGCTTATGCCTGTAGTCCCAGGTCCCAGCTACTCAGGAGGCTGAAGTGGCAGGATCGCTTCAGCCTAGGCAACATAGTGAGACCTTGTCTCTAAAAAATAGTTTTTAATAAAATAAAATAAAAAGTATGTATCTAAAACACCAAGTGCAGTTTCTGTAGGCGCTAATACTTGGTAACCATTGTTAGAAGACAAGGTGCTTCCTGGGAAAGCTAAGGAAGTAAATTTGCTGCTAGAGACATGAATGACTTTGTATTCTATAGAAAGTAATTAAGAGTTACCATGTATATTTCATGATATCTATGTAGATATATAGATATGTGTATTTTTAATATATTTGTGTGTACAGATCTATATAGCTTATATAGTTATTGATTTAAATGCATGTGCCTGTGTGGATTTGAAAGCCGTGGGCAGTCCTGGGCACTGATCTCCTTGGCAAGTCAATTTCCCTGGTGAGAAGGGAACAGAAGGCACCTTCGTTCCATCTTTCTCCACTAGGTGGCAGTCACAGTAAGAGGACACTCACAGCTTCTGTGGTGCTCGCGTTACTTTTTGGTGTGGTTCGGTGCTTTATGTCACTTTTTCCATGAGAGATACTAAAGGAATTTTTATGTTTGGGCCTCTCCCTCCAATATGAAAATTCAGCTAGTGTTGCACATTGCCGGCTTGCTCAGGGCCCCTCAACCCTAGGGTCCTGGGGTGGGAGGGGTCTGTCCTCTTGGAACTTGGGAAAGGAAATTTATAGGAAGACAAAGATGGATTCTTTTGCTTTTTATGACACTATGTTGTTTGCATTTCCTAAGAGCAAAGTGGCCATTTTTTCATTTCTTTTTTTCCCGTGTTTCATGACCTTTAATGCTTGGTTTTTCAATGATACCATTTTTTAAAAGTACTAAATTAAAACATTGCAGAAAGTCTGCAAATAGAAATAGATCTAAGAAAGAAAAAAGCATTCCCAATCTCAATCCAGAGGTAGTCCCTGTAACATTTTGGCATATTTACTTTCCCATCTTCTGTTTTTGGGGTTTTATAAACGCATAGACAGCTTCTTTAAAAAGGAACACAGGCTGGGCACGGTGGCTCACGCCTGTAATCCCAGTACTTTGGGAGGCTGAGGCCGGTGGATCACCTGAGGTCAGGAGTTTCAGACTAGCCTGACCAACATGGTGAAACCCCATCTTTAAAAAAATAAATATAAATACATAAAATTTTAAAATATATGAAAAGGAACAGAAAGGAAAGGATCATACTGTTTATGTTTATATAGTTCTGTATCCTGCTCTCTTTTTAAATTTTTTTCCTTACATGGTATTTGCCTGTGTCATTAAATGTTCTGCAAAAAGATAATTGTTTTAAAGACTCCATCATGAAGATCCAGCCTCATTTATTTTACTCATTTTTTTCCCATTGGACGTTTGGGTGGTTTCTATTGGTTTATTGCAAATAATTATAAATACCCTCCTACCTAAATCACTTTGTGAGTTCTGATTATTTCCTCAGGATAGCTTTTTGTAAGTGGAATTACTGGGTCAGAGGGTGGGAACTTTTTCAGTACTGCCAGAATACTTCCCAGAAGGTAGAAGGATTCCTGCTTTAATTAGTGGCTTGTGAACATGCTCTTCCCTGGGTGGGAGGTCTCAGGTCATTGCCTCTGCTTACAGGACCCCACCGGAATCTTAGGAAAGGAAGTGGGGAGACAGGGAGCAGGTTTTCCTGGACTTGCTATTTCCCTAAGGCCAAGGAGCCAGTGAGGGCCAGGACCCTTCCCTCCCTCCGCCCCTCCCTCCCTTCCTTCTTCCCATGCTGTGAATACTCACTCAGGAACCTCCTTGACTATCAGCTGCTGGTTCTCTCTGTTCCCTGAGGCCAAGGGGCCATGAAATAAGACCTCCCAGCCAGGGCTAGGGCAAACTGTGCATCCCCTGAGCAGCTCTGAGGCTGACATGTGACACTCACAGGAGTTTGTGTGATCTGTCTCCCAGGGCTCTGAATGGAATGCATCCAATCTGGAGGAACTGCAGGGCTCAGGGTGAGTCTCCTCCCCTTGTCTTTCCCTGTCCTTCCAGGCAGCTTAGAAACCCTCCACTCTGCAATGGAGGGGGAGACCTTGGGGCCGCCTGCCTGTAACTGCCTGCACCCTGGTCTCTGAAGTGGCTGCCAGGGGTTGATGTGCATAGCTAAACAGATGTGCTTCCAAACACCACGCCCTGAATAATTCATGGAGTTTAGATTGTGCCGAAGTCTCGAGTGATTTTGTGGGTTGAGGAAAATTTTTTAAAATCCCACTCCAGTGCTGTAGGACCGCCTGGATATTGATCAGGCTCTGTGCCGCCTTCCCCGCCTCCCTGCGCCGCACAGTTTGCTGCAAACTCTAGTGTGGATGCAGAGGTCTGCTGGCTGTTCTGTTAGTCTGCCACCCTGATCCCTGGGCCACTCCTGGCTCTGTCTGAGCTTCCGCTTTGGGGCTTGGTGGGAATCTTGCAACTCTACACTCAGTGTTGGCCAGAAGCGTATGCCTGTCCTAGCCTGACAAGCACTCAGCAGGGATGAAAAATGTTTCAATCTAGACCTTCAAGAACAGATGTCTGGACTTTTTTTTTTTTTAACAACACAGCCACAAAATCACCGTTCTGTGGGCCTGACATGATGACATTCTAGAATTACCACATTTAAAACTCAAGACTAAACAAATCTTAAAATACATCTGTAGAACTGCTGGTTAAGATGCATTCTTTCAACAGAAAGTATTCTTAAAACTTAAGGCCATACTCTTCTGTGCTTTTGTCTTGCTGGGAATAAATTAAGGACTTCCATAGGTATTTTTTTAAGCACGTCTAAATATCATGAAACCTATTTCAGATGTTTTCCAACTCCTGACATTATTTTCTTCCAGAAGTAAAAGTATTGATTAAGTTTAGAGAACTACAGAACCCCCGTTAGCAGACCCTGTCAAATACTTATTTATATATCTTGCCTTGTTTCAAAAAAGGATTTAAGGCAATTCCCAAGGATATAGATAATGGATGGATATAGTCTCCTTCTTAGCTATTTAAGTGAAGACTCTGGGATTTTTTTAAAGCCTCTGTGTACTCAGTTATGAATAGTTATAAATGTATTTAAGTAATATATATATTTAATTTTCTAGAATGCTTTAAGCTGAGTTTTCTTTTTATAAGATTTTTAAAATAAAGAAATTTGGTTTCTTACTATAAATATAACACATTCTCACCATCTAGAGGGAATTTAGAAAATACCAAAAAAAGTAACTATTAAGGAAAAACAAGTCTCACCACGAGCATATGACCCTTTATTAATGCGTGTTTCCTTTTCTTTTCTTTGCCAGTTTTTTATTACCTTGCTTTTTCAGTTCCTCATTCTGATTCTCCAAATGTGTTTCTTATTTTTTTTCTCATTGCAGGGTTGACTACATTTTAAATGTTACCAGAGAAATCGATAATTTTTTTCCTGGCTTATTTGCGTATCATAACATCCGAGTCTACGACGAAGAGACGACAGACCTTCTCGCCCACTGGAACGAAGCGTATCACTTTATAAACAAAGCGAAGTAAGTGGGTAGAGAGGCGGGGCTGAGGATGAAACCGACCCGCAGAGGCTGGGAGGGTGGGAGCCAACGGGACTGCAGGACTGCAGACGCAGGAGTCAGCTGCTGGGACTTGATGTGGGATGGACCTTTGCTTTTAGTTGCAGGACACCAAGCACCAAAGGGAAGTGGTTGGTCCTCTCCAGGTAGAGTCCCTATTGAGCTTACTCTCTCCCACCTATCCTTGACTGTGACATTGGACCCCCCTTGTCATTATCAGCTCTGATTCCAGGCAAGCCCCAGATACCAAGTGGACACTCAGGGGCCCCACCCCTAGGAAGTTGCCGAGCCAAAGGAGGGTTAGGGTAGGGCACAGACGCAGGCTTAGAGCTTCTTTAGGACTGCCTCCCTAAGAATACGGCCAGCCTTCCCTCCCTGAGTTACTGTCACGTGGAACGGGACAGCCCATCGGATGTCGTGGCCAGCCCCACTGCCCCTGAGCCTGACACTGGTTTCACCAGTCTCTGGTGCTGGCTTTATTCCCCTGCGAAACAGCTCTGCCTTACTGGAGTTAAGACAGAAAGAGAGAACCCTTTGAGGTGCTATCAAGACAATCACCCTCTTCTGTTTTGTCTCCCTCTGGGTCAAAGCTACATGGTGTGTCCTTAACCAAATCTTAGTTCCCTTGTATTCTAGGAGACAAACTCAAAGACTCCCTTGACGGAGACTTTAGACCTGCAGTTGGGGGAGGCGGGAAACCACTGAGATTTACAGGAGAATTTCAATCTTGGGGTATAGGAAACTGGAGCCAGCTTCCACCTGGTGTGTCTGCCTTTGGTACAAATAAAGTTTCCTAGGTGTTCCCTTACCGGCCTGGTGCTCCTTCACATTCTTGAGCTAGTGATACTTAAAGAAACACTGTCCCCTGGGCCATATCCAGTAAATCAGCCAGGCCTGGGCCGGCACTGCCTCCTTACAAATAATGGGCCAACCCCATCGCCCATTCCTGGCTTTTCTCTGCAGCTGCCCTCGCTCCTTCTCCCTGGCCCTCCCGTCTGAAGAGCATCTCGTGTTCCCCAGGGCCTTGCAGCTTTCAGTTCGCTGACCCCATTTTTCTGCAGTAACTAATTCACCATCTCCATCTGCTGTAGCAGCTGAGTAGCTCTTGCAGAATCCCGTTAGCTGCCTACTCTCAGCCCAGGAAAGAGTTTTTGGTCCCCTATCCCAGCCATGTGACAAGATTCTCACTTTGTCCCTGAAGGCAGCCAAATGTTGAATCTCTCCCTGCAAACAAAACATGGCTAGGCCAGAACAGATTTATCTTCCATTGTGTGCTAATTGATTCTACAGCGGTGTTATTTCCTTAGAGGGTGTGTAGACATCTGCTTCGTAAACATTAAGATATAAGAGGATTTCAGCAATAAGATAACTATAGGGTTTAGAAAAATGATTCCGGTAAAACTTGAGAGAATGAAGTTGTTGGAGCTTTTTAACTCCTTCCCCACTGCTTCTCCCATGTCCCTCCCCCAACAACTGCTTCCGCCCCTGCAGGAGGAACCATTCCAAGTGCCTGGTGCATTGCAAGATGGGCGTGAGTCGCTCGGCCTCTACGGTCATAGCCTATGCCATGAAGGAATTCGGCTGGCCTCTGGAAAAAGCATATAACTACGTGAAGCAGAAGCGCAGCATCACGCGCCCCAACGCGGGCTTTATGAGGCAGCTGTCTGAGTATGAAGGCATCTTGGATGCAAGGTGGGTGCCTGCCTGGAGAGAAGGGTTGGCAGGCGGAGCTGGAGCAGCCCTGCGGCCAAGCCAGCCGGGCCTCTGTCGGCAGCAGAGCGTGCTCCCATTTCTCCCGGCAGCCGCTTCTGCAGCCAAAATCCTGCCTCTCAGGGGGAGCCAGTTGAGAAAAACAACTATTGTTTGGGCTTTGATGAGTGGTTTCCAGGAGGGATCTGTTTTGATTTTCTTGGCACACACACAAAGCTGGTTTTGCTGCCAGAGGGAACAGTGCCTCTGTTCTAAGCTAAGGCCTGGCCTCGTGTGTGTGGCGTAGGCACGTGTGCATCCCGCTTCCTGGGCATCTGCTTTGTGCGAGCCCTGTGCACCGGCTTTGCTGTGGGAGAACCTGAGGACTTGGAGAGGTATAGCAACCAGGTTCCACCACTGATGAGCAGGGCAAGTCAGGGCAAGCTCATCAGTCTCCCCAAGCCTCAGGTCCTTCTGAGTTAAGAATTTAATGCCCACCTTCGCTGGGCATGGTGACACACACTTGTAGTCCAAGCTGCTCAGGAAGCTGAGATGGGAAGATTGCTTGAGCCCAAGAGTTCGAGGCTGCAGTGAACTGTGATCGTGCTACTACACTCCAGCCTGTGCGACAGAGCGAGACCCCATTTCTTAAACAAAAATACTTTTTAAAACACTGAGGCCAAGTATGGTGGTTCATGAGGCCAAGGCGGGTGGATCGCTTGAGCTCAGAAGTTCGAGACCAGCCTTGGTGATGCAGGATATTTTCTTGACCCCTTTGTGGGACTCGTGGCAGGGGTGTCTCATTTACTCAGCTTGCCCTACTCACCCAGTCATAGGAGAGAGTGTACAAATGAACTAGTGCAAGAACTGAAGTGAGCAAGTAGAGGAACCAGCCTCTTTAGTGCTGGCAGGAGCAAACTCTGTGCAGACTCCACGGCAGCAACCAGGTGGGGGTGCCTGTGACCCCAAGGTCTCAGAGGGTGTGTTATAATACTCTTTTAGCTCTGCTATCTGCAGATAGCAGTGTGTCACCAGCTCAGTGGGCCTGAGGCAGCTGCCTTCTGCTAGCAAGAGCAAAAGGCCAGTGTGACAGTGTCTTTGGGTACCCACACCTCGTGTGTCCTGAATTTTTGTCTGGTGCCTAAGAGGAATGAGGTCACATGGGCAAATTGAAGAATGGTGAATGTGGAGAACTGTATTGAGTATAAAAGCAGCCCTCAGCAGAGAGGGGAGCTAGAAAGGGGATGGGAAGGGAAGGTCACTCTCCCCTGAAGTCAAGCCATTTCTCTGCCTCGTCCAGCCTCCATCTTCTGAAATCAAGCTGCCTCTCTCCGACATCCCAGCATTTCTTCCTGACGTCCAGCAGCTGCTGCTCTCAGACAGCTGAGTCTGGGGTCTCTACAGGCACAGGATGGGGGTGGAGTGGGCTATAGGTAGTTTTGGAAAACGCAGCATTCAACTGGTAAAAAGAAATTATTCAGAAAGAACCAATCCGGAGAGAGCAGGCACATGGGGATGGAAGTTCTTATTTTGGGACACAGGTTTCAGGCTTTTCGGCTTGAAGGTGAGGTTTTGCCAGGGACCCGCCCCTGTCTGCCTATAATTTCTCTGCCTTCTGTCACTATCATTGGCAATATGGTGAGACCCCGTCTCTGCTAAAAATACAAAGAAAAAAAAATAGCCAGATGTTGTGGTGTGCACCAGTGGTCCCAGCTATTTGGGAGGCTGAGGTGAGATTATTACTTGAGCCCAGGGGGCAGAGGTTGCAGTGAGCTGAGATTGCACCAGTGCACTCCAGCCTGGGTGACAGAACCTGACCCTGTCTAAAAACAAACAAATAATGAATGCTCACCTTAATGCGGATGTTAATGGTACAGGTGCTGTGGAAAGCAGTATGGTGGTTCTTCAAAAAAATGGGAATAGAATTATTATATCATCCAGCAATTCCACTTGTGGGAATACCGGGTCTAGAAAAGACACCAGTGCTTATAGCATCGTTATCCACAACCGCCCAAAAAGTGGAAGCAACCCAAGTATTCACTGATAGATAAATGAACAAAGTGTGGCTGCCAGGCGTGGTGGCTCCTGCCTATAATCCCAGCACTTTGGGAGGCCGAGGTGGGTGGATCACCAGGTCAGGAGATTGAGACCTTCTTGGCTAACACGGTGAAACCCTGTCTCTGCGAAAAATACAAAAATTAGCTGGGCATGGTGGTGCATGCCTGTAGTCCCAGTTACTCGGGAGGCTGAGGCAGGAAAATTGCTTGAACCCAGGAGGCGGAGGTTGCAGTGAGCAGAGGTCATGCCACTGCACTCCAGCCTGGGCAACAGAGCAAGACTCCGTCTCAAAAAAAAAAAAAAACAGTAGCATATTCATACAGTGGGATATCACACAACCTTAAAAAGGAAGGAAAGTCTGACACAGGCTACAATAGGCATGAGCCTTCAGGACATTGTGCTAAGCAGAATCAGCCAATCGCAAAAAAGAGAACTACTATATGTTTCCATGCATATGAGATACTTAGATTAGTCAAAGTCATAGAGATAGAGGGTAGAATGGTGGTTGCCAGGGACTGGAAGAAGAAGGGAATGGGGAGTTACTGTTCAATGGGTACCAAATTTCAGCTTTATTAGAGGCAGAGAGTTCTGGAGACTTAGTCTGGAGGCTCTCTGGATGGTGGTGATGGCTGCACAACATTATGATTGTATTTAATGTGCACTTAAAAGTGGTCAAGATGAGGCTGGGTGCGGTGACTCATGCCTGTAATCCTAGCACCAAAGGGGGTGGATCACTTGAAGGAGTTTGAGACCAAACTGGCCAATAAGGTGAAACCCCATCTCTACTAAAAATACAAAAATTAGCTGGGTGTGGTGGTGTGCACCTGTAATCCCAGCTACTTGGAAGGCTGAGGTGGGAGAATGACTTGAACCTGGGAGGCCAGGAGTTCAGACTGCAGTGAGCCACGATCACATCACTGCACTCCAGCCTGAGCAACAGAGTGAGATCCTTTCTCAAAAATTAATTAAAAACTTAAAAATATATAAATAAATGAATAGTGGTCAGGACGGCAAATTTTATTTTATTTTTTTTTGAGTCAGGGTCTCACTCTGTCACCCAGGCTAGAGTACAGGGTATGATCGTGACACCTCAACCTCCCAGGCTCAAATGATTCTCCCACCTCAGTCCCCCAACCAGCTGGGACTACAGGTGCGTGCTATAATACTCAGCTAATTTTTTGTATATTTTTGGTAGAGACAAGGTTTCGCTATGTTGCCCAGGCTGGTCTCAAACTCCTGGACTCAATCGATCCTTCCGCCTCAGCTTTCCAAAGTGCTGGGCCGCCACATCTGGCCCAAATTTTATATTTTATGTATTTTAACACAGTAAAAAAAATTTTGAGGGCCAGGGGCTGTAATTCCAGCACTTTGGGAGGCCAAGGCAGGTGGATCACCTGAGGTCAAGAGTTTGAGACCAGCCTGGCCAACATAGTGAAACCCCATCTCTACTAAAAATACAAAAAAAAATTAGCCAGGCATGGTGGCTCGTGCCTGTAATACCAGCTACTCGGGAGGCTGAGGCACAAGAATCGCTTGAGCCCAGGAGGCAGAGGTCACAATGAGCCGAGATCGTGCTGCTGCACCCCAGCCTGGGTGACAGAGCGAGACTTCACCTCAAAAAAAAAAAAAAACAAAAAAAACACTTTTTAAAGAATGCCCACCTGATAGGACTGCTTCGAGGTTTGCATGAGTGCTGTCAATCAAGCAAAATGCCCAAGGCATGTCTCAATCATTTTAGGAGGGTTATTTGCCAGTATTGAGGATGTGCACCCGGGAGACAGGTCTATGCCTTTCCCCGAAGATAATTTTGAGGGTTTCAAATTTTAAGGGGAAAGAGTGGAATATTGAGAAATATACAATTTTCTTGTGAGGGGAATGGGGGAAAAGAGTCATTCATGCCTTTGTCTGGCTCAGTGAATCTGCGTTTTTGCAGAACATAGACAATAGGGCAGAGGAAACAGTCAGATAAGCATTTGTGTCAGGTGGGTAGAGGGGTGACTGACTTCTGTCCTGTGTCTTCCGTCCCACCCCCAACTCTGCACCGTGAAGATAAACTGTCAGTTTACTTTGCCATGGTGAATTTTAACAGAATGCTTTAGGACAAAGAATTTGGGGACCACAAGGAATTTCCTTGTGGGCAAGATATATGAGGGAGGTGTGTAGCTTTTCATCTTCACGGCCATCTTATTATTTAGGAACTAAAATGGGAGGCAGATTTGTGTGACCTACTTCCCAGCTTGACTGTTCCCCCTTGGCTCAGTGAGTTTGGGGGTCCCAAGATTTATTTTCCTTTCACAGTGCTAAACAGGCTTAGCTTTCCAGATACTTCCCAGATCTGGCTCATAGTAAATAATAAATTAGCTTATTTTAAAGTCTCTGAACTCCCACCCTAAAGAGTTATGTATGGATTATCCCCCTTTTCCAAGGATTGGGGCAGGGATGAGGGGCTGACACTGAGAGGTTGATCTGTCCCCTGTCACACAGCTAGTGGACAGCAGGAGGGAGAGGTACACCCCAGCCCCTCACTCGGCCTCTGAGTGGGGGCACTGTGTGCAGAAAGCCCTGTGGTTCTCTTGCCCACAGGTGGTGGTAGGGCAGGTCCTCGCTGTGGTTCCAGTACCCCAGGCTCTCAGGTCAGAAGCCCAGAGCCTGGGCGTCACTTTCTCCCTGTTCCCTTTTGAGTCAGCCTGTACAAGAAGCTGGCCTCCCTAGGTGATATCAGGCTGGTGTTGGAAGGAAGCCACCGGGAATGTTCACCAGTTTCTTGGCCAAGTTTGGGGATGCAGGAGTGCCCTGGCAGGGTTAAACAGGGTACAGAGAACAGCACCAGCCAACTGCAGACTCCTTCACTGTCAGAGAAGGCCTGGGCAGGTCCCCAGGCAAGGCCCAGAGGAAGAGGAGGAAGAGCGAGCATCTCACTGTCCTCTCCCTTAGCCTGCCAGGCGCTTCGTGCCCTTTACAGCCTAAGGTGGGCACTCCAGCCCGGGTTCACAGCAGCCTGGCAGTAGCCTTGAATAGCTGCTCTCTGGGATGTGCACACCAAGCAGAGAGGAATGAGCGACCGTGCGCTCTCTCTCGGGGCTCTTATATTTACTTCGCTCTTGTCTTAACTCTCACAAGCCTGTGATATTGGGATTACTTTAAGGTCCTTGAGGGTGACTTAGTTACCTTATTTTACTGTAAACAACTTTTTTTATGCCTTACATTTAAAAAATGTATTAGAGAGCTGGGTGCAGTGGCTCACACCTGTAATCTCAGTGCTTTGGGAGGCTGAGGTAGGAGGATCACTTGAGACCAGGAGTATAAGACCAGCCTGGGAAACATAGCAAGACCCTGTCTCTACAGAAAAATAATTTAAAAATTACTCAGGGATGGTGTCATATGCTTGTAGCCCCAGCTACTTGGGAGGGTGAAGCGGGAGGATCACTTGAGTCCAGAAGTTTGAGGCTGCAGAGAGCCATGATGACACCAGTACACTCCTGCCTGGGCCACAGAGTGAGACCTTCATCTCATAAAGGAAAAAAAAAAGGTATTATAAAAACGATCTCATAGTGGTAGAAGAAATTGTCTAAAGACTGACCTAAACAAATACTTTCCAGTTTTCCAGGATCTTCCCAAATGTGTTTCAGTGCGTTATACGTTTCTATAGTTGTATTATTGTGTATAGATCTGTACATAGTCCGCTTTGATTCCCTTCATTTCCCTACAATATAGGTTGGAGAGCATTGTTATTCTCATTTGACAGAGAGAAAAATGAGACATGGAGTGTAACTGATGTGACGAAGTTCGTAACATGAGGCAGCGCTAGACACAGATACACAGACTGAAGTCTAGACGTTTCCTTCCCCATTGTCATCAGGGACAGAAAGTCACATCAGGCTTCCTGTGGGAACCTGGACTACTTAAGATCCCAGTGCTGTTTCTCATCCTTGTGTTTCTTGGGAAAAAATGAATAGAGAGAGGCTTTACCTGAACTAGCCATGGATCGTCCCTGGCGCCCCTGACCTTGGGCAGCCCCTCACTGGCTCACTGCACACTTTTCCCAGTACCCCCAGGCACCGTCCTCCTCCACTCACCTTCCTCCACCCTCTCCCCACAGCAAACAGCGGCACAACAAGCTGTGGCGTCAGCAGACAGATAGCAGCCTCCAGCAGCCTGTGGATGACCCTGCGGGACCCGGCGACTTCCTGCCAGAGACCCCCGATGGCACCCCGGAAAGCCAGCTACCCTGCTTGGATGATGCTGCCCACCCCGGCTTAGGGCCCCCGCTCCCCTGCTGTTTCCGGCGACTCTCAGACCCCCTTCTACCTTCCCCTGAGGATGAAACTCGCAACTTGGTCCACATGGAGGATCCAGAGAGGGAGGCTCTGTTGGAGGAAGCTGCTCCGCTTGCAGAGGTGCACAGGCCGACCAGACAGCCCCAGCGAGGTTCTGGACTCTGTGAGAAGGATGTGAAGAAGAAACTAGAGTTTGGGAGTCCCAGAGCCCGGAGTGGCTCCTTGCCGCAGGTGGAGGAGATGGAAAGGGAGGAGGGCCTGGGAGCAGGGAGGTGGGGGCGGCCTCCAACCCAGCTCGATCAAAACCTGCTCAACCCGGAGAACCTAAATAACAACAACAGCAAGAGGAGCTGTCCTGATGGCATGGAGGTAGGCAGGGCCTGGCCTGCAGGGTGGCACACCCTATCCTTTCCATCCCGCTCCTACTGGCCCACCCCAGCCTCTGTAGCTGGGACTTCAGGCATGCGCCACCACACCCAGTTGATTTTTTTCTATTGCCTCTGCTGGGCCCGCAGCTCTCATCACCAGGGACCTGAGGGTTCTTTCAAAGGGTGATTCTGCTGGTGGCTATATAGTGTGTATATTATATAGCGAATTGGGAATCTGTCGGGAATAATGCGTATCTCTGCATGCCATCGGCACCCCGTACACCTTACTCATACCCTGGGCAGGGCTTCCAACTCAATTTCTTTTTACGTATATAAAATTAAAACATGTCATTTATCAGCCAACTTTAGGCTTTATCAATATATGACTGTTCTTTTTCATCTCACCCCAGATGATTCTGGAACCAGAATCAGGTAGAGATACAGATATAGATATCTATATCTAAAAATATATATATTATAGATATATACTATAGATATAGGTATACACTGTAGACAAGGTCTCGCTCTTTGCCCTTGCTGGAGTGCAATGGCATGATTACGGCTCACTGCAGACTTGACCTACCAGACTCTGGTGGTCCTCCCACCTCTGCCTCCTGAGTAGCTGGGACCACAGACACATACTACCACACCTAGTTAATTTTTTCTGTTTTTTTATAGAGATGAGGTCTCACTGTTGCCCAGCCTGGTCTCAAACTCTTAAGCTCAAGCAGTCTGCCCACCTTGGCCTCCTGAAGTGCTGGAATTACAGGTTTGAGCTATCTCACCTTGGCCTCAGATATATCATTTTATTCATAAATGCTCCAGTATATAACATAGCCGCAATACCATTGTCACCTTTAAAAAACCAATAGGGCTAGGCATAGTGGCTCACACCTGTAATCCCAGCAGGGACTTTGGGAGGTCAAGGCAGGCAGATCACGAGGTCAGGAGATCAAGACCATCCTGGCCAACATGGTGAAACCCCTTCTCTACTAAAAATATAAAAATCAGCTGGGTCTGGTGGCACGTGCCTGTAATCCAAGCTACTTGGGAGGCTGAGGCACGAAAATTGATTGAACCCAGGAGGTGGAGGTTGCAGTGAGCTAAGATCACACCACTGCACTCCAGCCTGGCGACAGAGTAAGACTGTCTCAAACAGCAACAGCAACAACAAAAACTGATAATAATTTCCCAACATTATCAAGTATCCAGCCTTCCAACTTAGACTCTAATACTTAACTCCGTTAGTCTCTTGGAGTTGTCATTTTTGGTGGATTATCTGCCACAAGGTCTGAGCTTCAGTGGTGCTTACTGAAGTAGAGAATCGTTAATTCCAGCCAACCTTTTTCCTCCTCCATGTGGGGAAGTGATACAGGAGCAGAGGCGGGTTCAGTGGAAGGGTGGCTATGCAGCCGGGTCTCTGCTTCCACCCACGCCCTGCAGCTGACGTCGTTTCCTCTGGCTTCACTGCCCATCTCACAGGACAGCCATGGTTCTCAAGTGCGGGCACTCGGGATCCTGACAGCTGCATTCAAGTATACACCCAGTTTATTAACAGCATGTTACAATGCAGACAAAACCGGGCAGTTGCATCTGTCGACCTCCAAATTGTAAAGAATTCCAAATCAAATATTTATTATGGATTTCCCCCACATCTCTACTTAGCAAATACCCCTAAAGACAGGTGAGATAAAACCCTGTCCCGGGCGTGGTGGCTCATGCCTGTAATCCCAGCACTTTGGGAGGCTGAGGTGGGCGGATCACCTGAGGTCGGGAGTTGGAGACCAGCCTGACCAACGTGGAGAAACCCCATCTTTACTAAAAATACAAAATTAGCCAGGCCTGGTGGCACAGGCCTGTAATCCCAGCTACTCGGGAGGCTGAGGCAGGAGAATCGCTTTAACCCGGAACACGGAGTTGCAGTGAGCTGAGATGGTGCCACCGCACTCCAGCCTGAGCAACAAGGGGGAAACTCCGTCTCAAAAAAAACCCATGGAAGCCATAGTGGGGGTTTTAAGCAGGCAGGTGATAAGGCCCCTCTGGCTGTGGTCTGCAGGCAGGCTGATGGGTTAAGAGGGGAAGCTGGGAGCCTAAGGTTGCAGTGGCTCAGAGGATGTGGCAGGGCCATCGGGAGGTTTGAGAGACAGCTGGCGGGGTGTGGTGGCTCATGCTTGTAATCCTAGCACTTTGGGAGGTGGAAGCAGGAGCATCACTTGAGCACAGGAGTTCGAGACCAGCCTGGACAACATAGTGAGACCCTATCTCTATCTATTTGAAAAAAAAAAGACAGAGTCTTGTTGCCTTCCTGCCTTGTCCTGTCCTCCAGCCTGCAGTCCTGTGCAGGAGGGTTGTGGGGAGTTTTCCTCTCCCCTCTTCCTCTGCTTCTGGGCCTGCGTGCTGCTCTCTCTGGCTGGTCAAAACCTGCTTGTCCCAGAAGCTTCAGCTGAAGTGTCAGTTTCTCTGGTCAGCCTTCCCTCCACAGAGACTCTGAACTTGTCCCTCTCTCTCCTGGGATTCTTCACTCAGCTTTCTAGTCCATTCCCAGTATCGCTGGGTACCTTTCAGTTGGCCTATGAGGAGGTGAACGGCAGGGACATAGAGGCATCTGCCACATTCACTTAGATCCTCACTGACCAAAAGGCAGGGGGTTTTCCTTAGGAAACAGTGTAAACTTGTTTTCTGTTGGCGTATAAAACCCACCTCAGGCTGGGCACAGTGGCTGACGCCTGGAATCCCAGCACTTTGGGAGGCTAAGGCGGGTGAATCACCTGAGGTCAGGAGTTAGAGACAAGCCTAGCCAACATGATGAAACCCCATCTCCACCAAAAATACAAAAATTAGCTGAGCATGGTGGTATACGCCTTTAATCCCAGCTACTCAGGAGGCTGAGGCAGGAGAATTGCTTGAACCCAGGAGGCAGAGGTTGCAGTGAGCCAAGATCGCGGCCGTGCACTCCAGCCTGGGTAACAGAGCGAGACTCCATCTCAATCAACCAGTCAGGTCGATCAATCAGTCCCGTCTCAGCCCAGCTCTCATCAGGAGCTGTGTGCCCCTGCATCTAGGTCTGCATTAGTCTTTTCAAAAACCATTTTTGCTCTTTGCCACCCCTCTTGTGAAGACCATGGCGAGCTGACGGTTCTGGGGCCACGCTGTGCCGCTGCTAAGTAGGAAGGGCTCCATCGTCAGGCTGCACACTCCCCAAATGCAAATTCTTTCTGAAAGGGAGAGTCCCCTGTTTGTTTCTGTGGGAGACACATTACTTCATTGAATTATCCCAGTGCTGTGATTGTCACCCTTTTTGTCCAAGTGAGACCAGGGCCTGGAAAAGGATTGTGCTGTACAGATGGCAGAGGTGGGGTTTTGAAGCATGGTCCCCAGAGCCCCTGATCATGTTGGCGTATGGCCCAAGATGTGCCCAGGATCTTGGGCTCTTAGCTTCTGGGAAGTTGGATTCAGCATCTCCGTCTTCTCTCTAACCTGTGTTATTGACTTCTCTCTAACCTGCGTATTTTACGATCATGTTATTTCCGATTCGTGGTCTCTAACCTACGTTATTCACCTCCTCCGGGAGGTCTGTCTGTCAGTACTAAGTGAAGTGAGAGCCGCCTCGCTGGGCCAGGCCCCAGCCCCGCCTCGCACCTCTTTCCCTGCCCAGCCTTATGTTTTTGGTCTTTGGCTCATGACCGCCCTGTCTCACCATGTTCTTGTCCCCTTCCTTTCAGCATGATGCCATATTTGGGATCCTTAACAAAGTGAAGCCCTCCTACAAATCCTGTGCCGACTGCATGTATCCTGCAGCCAGCAGGGCTCCCGAGGCCTCCAGGGAGAGATGTGAGGACCTCAGTGCTCCTGCCATCTGCACCCAGCCAGCCTTCCTGCCCCAGGTCACGTCTTCCCCTGTGGCCCATATGGCTGGCAGGTCCCGTGTTCCGGAGAAGCCGGCCTCTGGCCCAACCGAACCTCCCCCATTCCTACCACCAGCAGGCTCCAGGAGGCCAGACACCAGTGGCCCTGGAGCTGGGGCTGCCCTAGAGCCTCCAGCCAGCCTGTTGGAACCTTCCAGAGAGACCCCAAAAGTCCTGCCAAAATCCCTCCTTTTGAAGAATTCTCACTGTGATAAGAACTCTCCCAGCATGGAAGTGGTGAAGGAAGAATTGTCACCCAAGAAAGATACGAAACCAGCCAAGGACCTGAGGCTTCTGTTCAGTAACGAATCTGAGAAGCCGACAACCAACAGCTACCTGATGCAGCACCAAGAGTCCATCATTCAGCTGCAGAAGGCAGGCCTAGTCCGCAAGCACACCAAAGAACTGGAGCGGCTGAAGGGCGGGCCCGCAGACCCGGCTCCTCCCTCTAGGGACGGCGCTGCCGGCAGGCTGGAGGCCAGCATCCCAGAGGAGAGCCAGGATCTAGCCGCGCTCCATGAGCTGGGGCCACTGGTTATGCCTGGCCACGCCGGGAGTGATGAGAAGTCAGAGACCGCCCCTGCCTCATTGGAAGGAGGCTCATTGAAGAGCCCTCCTCCTTTCCTCTACCGCCTGGACCACACCAGTAGTTTCTCAAAAGACTTTCTGAAGACCATCTGCTACACCCCCACCTCCTCATCCATGAGCTCCAACCTGACCCGGAGCTCCAGCAGCGACAGCATCCACAGTGTCCGCGGGAAGCCTGGGCTGGTGAAGCAACGGACGCAGGAGATCGAGACCCGGCTCCGGCTGGCGGGCCTCACCGTCTCCTCCCCACTGAAGCGCTCACACTCTCTTGCCAAGCTCGCGAGTCTCAACTTCTCAACAGAAGACCTGTCCAGCGAGGCTGACCCATCCACCGTCACTGACTCCCAGGACGCCACATTGAGTGAATCTTCCTTCTTGCATGAGCCCCACGCAAACCCAAGGGACCCAAGTATAACCTCCAAACCATCAGGGAAACTCGCCTCAGAAAACTTGAAGAGCCCTTCGTGGATGAGCAAAAGCTGACCCGCCTTTTGCTGCGTTGGGCCGGGAGGATATTTTCACATGATCTCTCCCTCACTTTCACTGTGGATTTTGATCAACCTTTTACATCTTGATTTCCCTTAAATAATTGAAGTCATCCTGACTTTTCCCCCACTCTTGCCACAGAGAGGAGGAGAAGATGCCAACCAACATGCAGCACAAGAAGGGGAGCTGTCAGTCATGTGGCCTGGGAGAACTAAGACCTGCAGCCAGGAGACACACAACTCCACTCCCACCGTGTCTCGAAGAATAACCGTGTTTTTGAAAGAACGTGCACACACAGGCGCACACATCCAGACTGTTCCATTTGCAGCCTGCAGAAGAAGAGTCCTGGTGATGGCAGCATCACTGCGGCACACTCTAACTCATTCTGGGCCTCGCAGAAAACTCGGATGGCAACATGAAGTCCTACCTCTGTTCTCACTGTGCTTGTTATTTTTAAAACACCAGAATGACCAAGGCTCGTTCCAGGGAATCCAGCTGTTTCTGAAAGCATTTTTCCAGAAAAAACCAATGATTTTTTGTTTTGTTTTTTTTTTGGTTAGGACCCCAGACGTGTCAAGACTTTTAACCCGACAGCCCCAAGCACTGCTGGGTGAAGTCATCAGATGGGTAGTCCCACGCTGTTGTTGCGCCAACTCTGCGCCCGAGTGGAGGTGCAGACTCTGTCCTGGTTGTGTTGCTACAGCTGAGTGATGCGTTTGACCAGCACGGGGGTCCGGTGGGGAAAATGTGTGGGTTGTTCTCAGTTGTTGCTAATGCTGAAGCTTAAATCTCGAGGGGAAGGACCTGCCCGCATTGTTGAGCCTCTGCTGCAGAAACTCGTGGTTGTGCTTAGGTTTGAAATTGCTCAAGTGTCTGGTGCAGGCGGTGGTTCTGAGACACAAATCATCCCACTGAGAGCAATGCTCAGGTTCACTAGGGCCCGTGAGGGAAAGGAGATTTCAGCAGCTTCCCCAGAAGGAACAGGACTGTTGGGACACTTCCCGGATGTTTACAGTTGCCCCTTCCTGCAGTAAGATTACTCCTTCCTGTTTCCCTCCAGCTCTTCTCAGCAGCCATGATGGAGTAAAAGAGGGATCTGTAGTCACTGCCTGGCTCTGTGGGCAGCCCCTTTAAGACTCAGGTGAACTGCGGGAGTCCTGCTGCCCCAGGCGTGAATCAAAGGTGTCAGCAAGCTAGATGGCAACACATTTTGAGAGAGAAGCAGCTTATTGAAAGCCAGAAAGGTTGAATTCAGGGGTCAGCAAGCTATGGCATACGGCCTTTGAGCTAGGAATGACTTCCTTTTTCCTTTATTGAGACAGTGCCACCTGGCTCTGTCAGTGCCTGGCTCTGTCACCCAGGCTGTAGTACAGTAGCACAATCATGACTCACTGCAGCCTCAGCCTCCCTGGCACAAGCAATGGCTTTTATATTTTTAAGGAGTTGTTAAAAAAAGAAATAATATATGACAGAATTCACGTGGCCCACAAAGCCTGAGATATTTACTGTCAGGCTTTTTATAGAAAAAATTGCTGACTCCTGGTTTGAGTTGCCACACAGGGCTGCCCATGGCCTTGTAGGAAGAAACTGGGTACATTTGAAGCCCTGTGCCTCCAACACCTAAAGCCAGACCCTTCCCTCCTCCTGACCACAAGCTTTGCCAGCCTCCCACTAGCTCACCTGTACAGGAGGCAGTGGTTGCATGCGTGGGAGAAGGCAGGGGAACACAGTTGGCTGAAGCACTTCCACAATTCCTTCTTGCCCTCAGCTGGTTCACCAGATTAGCTAGTGAAACCAGAAAGCCTTCTAGGGCCAGCCGAATTCTGAGAGTTGGTGAGTGGGCCTTCATCTTACATTGGTCAGAACCGTCCTCCCCAAAGCTATTCTAGAAAGCACCACAGGTGGGGTCTTCAAAAACAAGGCTAGTTCATACTTCACCTAATGGGTAGAGTTTTTGCAAAAATCCTCTCTCCGGGACTTTGTTTCCTTGGAGTGATTTTTTAAAATACATATATTACTTTGTAGGAAGCTGTTTTCCCACTAGTGTCAATTAAAATCACCTTAAAAGGTGATTATCCACTTACTCCTGAAACCCTGTGGGTTTCCCCCCTCCCCCTCAGCCAACAAAAGCATAGCCTCAAAAAATACCAAGTTCCGTATGTTTTGCCAAATCAAATTTCATGTGGTAGATCAATTTTTGTGTCAAAATAATCTTTTAAATTTAGTGAAGACAGGCTTACGTTGGTTTTTTAACCACATCTGTGTATGAGAATGATATAATTTTGAAAGCCGTAATTTTTCTTACCTAAAGAGTTGAGGGGGTGTGGAATGGGGAGACTGCAAGTGAGTCTTTGGCTTCTGGAAAATTTATGCATTCATTTTCAGAAGCAGAGCTAGCATATCAACATCCACACAGGAGCAGTGGTCCCCGTCATCAGAGCAGAGTGAAGCATTCTTGACTTAATGCTTAATACTCTGGCCTGGAGAAAAGATTTTTTTTTTTTTTGGAAATCCAGATCAGTGGCATGTATACATATGGCATATGGCTATTTAAAATGCTATATGATGGGCAGGGCGTGCTGGCTCACACCTGTAATCCCAGCTTTTTGGGAGGCCGAGGTGGGCGGATCATCTGAGGTCAAGAGTTCTAGACCAGCCTGGCCAACATGGCGAAATCCCGTCTCTACTAAAAATACAAAAACTTAGCTGGATGTGGTAGTGTGTGTCTGTAATCCCAGCTACTTGGGAAGCTGAGGTGGGAGAATCGCTTGAACCTAGGCAGCAGAGATTGCAGTGAGCCAAGATCAAGTCACTGCACTCCAGCCTGGGTGACAGAGTGAAACTCCATCTCAAAAAATAATAAAATAACATAAAATGCTATATGAACAAGACAAACATTCCGCCAGGCTTTGGGCCACCTGGGCAAAGACAAATTCATACTGGTCTCTGAAAAGAAAGTTTGCACTGTAACATGTGCCATAGCTTGGCTTTTGCTTTGTACGCAACCTTAGCTGATGGGGAAAATTCCAAACATAAGTGGCACAGGAAAGAGGCAGGCGGAGGCAGGGATTTATGCTGTGCAAGTCACTGATCTTTAATGACTATCATTTTCATTGAATGCTTTTGTTGAATTGGGACAAAAGGAACATTTTTTAGATGAGCTTGATACTCTGTATAAACAGCTGAATCTTATCTTCTGCCTCACGTTAATTCATATGGTATGCCAAAAGTTAGACTGAACTTTTCTACATCTTCATCTTGCATTGATACAGGAAAGTCTTAACTCTCTAAGTTTTGTATCAGGGGGATAGTGGTCACAGAAAGAGGAGAACCAGGCTGCTGTCGGATGGTAATTGACAATGCTGATTTCCATTTCTTTGCCTTGTGGCTACTTCCAGTCTTCTAGCAAGGTCCCTGGTTGTGCATTTCCTAAGAACAAATTTTATTTCTCTTTACATTCCCAGCTTCCTTGCTCTCCATGCAGGGACCCCTGCCAACCTCTGGGCTGTTGAATAGCTCACTGCTGGGTGGCAAGCCCTTCTCCTTGGCACCCTGTTGCTTAAGCATGCAGATTGCTCACCAGGTGCACACACAGAGCTGCACTGTCCAAGCCCCGCCTTGCTCCACCCTGCCCTCTTCAGCTAAAGAGCATTCCGGTCAGCCTAAAGCCCTTTCCCCCTGGATAGGTCCAGAGGATGCCGCAGTATGGAGCTGAGCTTGAACTGAACAGACACTCAGGACAGCCCTGGACAAATGCACTCTTATCTCAGGGCAGCCTGTTCTAGAAGGTTGATGAATTTCCTCACCACTCCTGGGGACCTTTTCTCCCTAATAGGAACAAATGCTGCATAATTTAGTCAAGATCTTATTAAGTCACCTCACCTGAGGCATCTGGAGAGGGAATTGCCTTCCATTGGTGGGAAATTGTTAGTGCCAGAATAAGTTTTGCTCAACTCTTCTCATTGGCTGGCCACGTAGCAGGGCTCCTCTGAACACGCAGTCAGTGAGGGTACACGCTTCACCTCTGGCAAGAGAGCTGAGTAGATCAGAAACTTGGTGATATCTGGGCAGTACTTGTCTTGGTCCCACTACCCAGATTCCTACCCAGGTCCCACATTGCAGGCCAAATGAAGGTCGTTGAGTTACACTTGGAAACACCCAGCCCCTTGTTTTGTTAATGTCTGCTCTGCAGTGAAATGCCCGTGTGTTTGAGTTCACTCTGCATATATATATTTGAGTCTGGAAACCAAGTCAAGTGATCATGTGCATCCAGACACTGTGTCACCTGAGCCACAGAGCAAATCAGCTTCACAATCTGGAATGATACTGTGACCAGTGCCGCCCTGGGTGGCTCTGGAGAGACTGCCTTCTTGTTTGGCCGTAGGTGCTGGGGCCCTGGCTTCGGTCACTATCAGACAGTAGTCCTGATAAGCAGATCCCCAGTCCTCCGCTGTCCTTCCTGTCGGCCTTGCTGCATGAGAAGATAGCTGCTTCCTCCCTGTTTTCCTACACGTTAATTATTGTTTTACAATTGAGTGCCTTAATAATAGTTTACAAATACTGTGTATTTATGCAAAACTGTTAAACTCTCATCTGCTGTGATCGAATACTTTGTCTTGTCAGTAGTGGTCGGTATTGGGATGTGAGCTTGTCCTACTCCATACGTGTTTATTCTGCTATGCAGTTTTACATTGTGTGTTCACATCTATTCCAAGGAGCCTTGCTAGAAACAGCTCTGGTAGTTCCTGCAGGCCAGGCAGGCATTGGCTGACGCTGCGTCCCATAGGAGCCAACGAAAGAAAGTAGCTGGATCCACTAGCCAGCTGTGGGGTGGCACAGGCTAGCCGGCCTCTGCACCAGAGCCCAGCACCTGCCTGTTCCCCAGCCACACAATTGTACTCTTCTTTCTTCGAGATTTTATTTCCACCTAGGCCACCCTAGTTTTCCTCTCTGTTACTGTCCTGAGCTCTTTTGCAACAAAATGTAGGTACAGACCAGTCCCCCCCCCAATCAGGAGCTCCACACGATGAGTCGTTTGGTTTTTCAGAAGCTGCCAGTGGGTTCCCATGTATTGCGTTATGATATCAATGATTTTTTTATTGGTTTTCTTGTTTTTTAATAATATATTTAAAAGGCAGTATCTTTTGTACTGTGAATTTGCAGTAGAAGATGCAGAATGCACTTTTTTTTTTTTTACTTCTGTTGGTGTGTGTTGTATATAGTGTGTGTGCTTCTTGTGATGAAAATAAACTTTTTCTTTATAAATATCTGATGACCATGAGTTTATATAAAAGGAAACTGCTTCCTCAGCCCTTGCCAAGACAGTCTGATACATCGTCATCATCGTCATTGTCATGGCCACTCTTTATTATTAACTTAGCACCTATTATGTGTTAAGTTCTTTGCTAGAAAACCTGGACAAGTTACACCAAAGAAAGGACCACAGGAAGAAATGTTAGCTCCTCCCAGGACTAGTCTGTTTTCTACCTAATTTTGTCAGTAAGCAAGAGCAGGCCCACTTGTGGGTGGTCCTTTGTGTGCCAAAAAAAAAGTTACCCACCAGGAAGGGGTTTGGACTTCGGGTGGCTTCTCTTCCCGTACAAGTAGGAAGTGTAAAGCCAGAGATGTGCGCTAGAGAACATCTCATCTGCTCCCACCAGTCCAAGTGGGAGAGGAGGACTCTGGAGGCTAAGTACTACTGATTTCCCAGGAACATGCTCATGTCTCAGTCCACTGCACACCAGGCAGCTTTTGGTGGCTCTCCTCCCTTGGAGATTCAGTGAGCAGAGCCACTTCCATTTTTTT